CACGCGCGGATTCAAATTAGACCTCGCCATCCCTGGGGGGCTGCGATCTGCGAAACTGTCGCCATTTTCGAGGCCTGCTGGGGGGCCCAGCACAGTGAGGGCCACGCGCAGATTCAAATTAGACCTCGCCATCCCTGGGGGGCTGCGATCTGCGAAACTGTCGCCATTTTCGAGGCCTGCTGGGGGGCCCAGCACAGTGAGGGCCACGCGCGGATTCAAATTAGACCTCGCCATCCCTGGGGGGCTGCGATCTGCGAAACTGTCGCCATTTTCGAGGCCTGCTGGGGGGCCCAGCACAGTGAGGGCCACGCGCGGATTCAAATTAGACCTCGCCATCCCTGGGGGGCTGCGATCTGCGAAACTGTCGCCATTTTCGAGGCCTGCTGGGGGGCCCAGCACAGTGAGGGCCACGCGCAGATTCAAATTAGACCTCGCCATCCCTGGGGGGCTGCGATCTGCGAAACTGTCGCCATTTTCGAGGCCTGCTGGGGGGCCCAGCACAGTGAGGGCCACGCGCGGATTCAAATTATACCTCGCCATCCCTGGGGGGCTGCGATCTGCGAAACTGCCGCCATTTTCGAGGCCTGCTGGGGGGCCCAGCACAGTGAGGGCCACGGGCAGATTCAAATGAGACCTCGCCATCCCTGCGGGGCTGCGATCTGTGAACCTGTCGCCACTTTCGAGGCCTGCTGTGATCCCCGTTTTCGAAGTGGCTAGGAGTGCTCAGGAATTGTAAATCATCAGCTTTATCAAGCCCTTTTCCTGTAGCCAGTGTCCTGCGAGTCTCCCGAATTCCGTCTGCAGACATATGTAACCCTCGCTCCGTCATCGCCCCCTTATAAAGTATCCTAAACTATTTGCGCCCCGCTTTTGCGCAGGGGTTGGGTGCGTCGCCAGTTTTTTTTTTTTTTTTTTTTTTTTTTGGGGGGGGGTGCATATATATACACACATATAAATATATAATATATATATATATATATATATATATATATATATATATATTCTTTATTTTTTACTTAATTAGTATTAAGCCATGGACCGCCACCGCCGGCATTTCCATGCGGCTCCAGGAATGCACATGAAGAACACCATGGCTGAAGCCGACGCTTCCCTCTACGACTTGCTCTCGTGGTATACTTCCGACGCCTGCAAGACGCATGATATCCACAGCGGCTGGAAAGCGGCGGCGTTGGAATTTCTCGTGACCAAGGATGTTACCAGGTCCACGTTCATCGCAATTGCTTCCATGCGCAACTCTTTCGACGTCCTCATGAAGCAGGCGCGCCCGTGGCTGGACAAGGAGCTTCGCAATTGCCTGGCGTTCGAAGACTGGGCCGTCCACTCGGTCCGCGAACTCTGGGTTTTCTGGGCGTGGGCGAGAAGTGGCTGGACGAGTTCGGGGACCTCCAGCTGAGGTACCAGGATGTCCAGCTCGAGGTCGTCGCCAAGTTCCGCGGGCAGCCCGACGTCAAGGACAGAGTGGAAGTGATGCTGGTGCGCCTGTGGCAATTCCGCAAGTTCAGCGACAGCCGTTGGGCCAATCTGGGGAGGAGCTGGCGCGCGCTACTTTCAGCTGTTGTCGCTGGTTCGGGGTCCTTCCATCGATTCACCATGAGGGAGACCAGCAGCTCCAAGTTCTTCATCAAGGGGTTCTCCCAGTGGGCCGGGGAGGTTCGGCGGTTCGCCATCATGGCCACGAGTTCCACGGTTGTTGACGCCGCTTTACATGCCTTGCTCAAGGACGACCAGCTCATGCAGGTCATTGGGACAGTCGAAGCTGGGATCCCCGAGGACCTCTGCCGCCAGCAGGACATCGCAGACGAAGTGTGGGAGACGATCGCTGACAGCATCGATGAACCGTGGCGCCGTCTTCGCGACGACATTTGCCACGCAGGTCTCGTCATGGCTTGCTTCGCTCTGGGGCGTCCGTTCCGTGCCCAGCTTGCCCTTCTCCCTGTGCGTCGGCGACGTTGTCGCGAATTTGGGCAGTCTCAGCCAAGGGGGCATGCCGAACGAGGAGACGTCAGCTAAGATATGCCCTCTGTTCCGCATCGGCTTCGATATGGGCGCGATCGAGGATGGCTTGGCGCTGTTGGCCAACGTCTCTTTCTCTTCTACTACGGTGGAGCAGGGGCGCGCCGCTGCCAGTGCCATTATGAAGAACCACAAGGACTACTGCGCCAACGCGATGACGTTCCCGAACCTTGTGAAGCAGGCTGCCGCTCTGGTGTCCTCGACTCGGGCCGCGAAGCTCCCGCCGCGTCTTCGAGCCCAGCTTGGGGGTCTGAGGCGCCGCCGGCCCAATCGCATTAGTGGGCGCCGCGTGTGCGTGGAGGAACTCTCGCTGCAGGCCCAGTCTGGCCCCGACGGCTGCGCCAGTGGCGCGCGGCCGACGAAAGCCATCATCAAGGGCCACGGGAGGGCGTGGCGGGCCAAGTCTGCCCAGGTAAAGCAGCACTACGCCAGGAAGGCGAGTTGGGCTCGCGTGGAATCAGCCACCGTCATCGTTGGGCAGAGGGGGAAGATCCTATCCAGGGTTGACGCCCGGCGCACCGACGAGGCCGAGGCTGGCGGAAAATTGCCTCCGCGGCGTTTGTCGTCGGCTCGGTGGAGCACGTCGCAGCGGGCTTGGGCGGGCGAGTCCTTCTCCGCGTGGCCCTTGAGTTCCAGCGGCGCCCAGGAGAGGGGGGGGGCCCGCCGCCGAGCCGATTGTCGCACCGAGGGTGGAGCTCCAGGAGACCCCGTGCGCCGCCATCGGGCTGCCCCGTGGGTCGAGAAGGCTCGCGCTACTGGCCTGCCCGTGTCTCTGGCTGGCGCCAGTCCCGCCGGCCCCCCCCGCCGTCGGGCCCTGTTGGGCTCTCCGGGTCTATCTCGGGGCAGGGGTTCCCGGCCGCGTGCCGGATTCATTCGGGCGCCGTCGGGCCCCGCGGGGTCCGCGCGCGCGCCGGGCCGCCCTGGCCGTCGGGCTCCGTCGGCCCCCCCCCGGGCGACGCAATGGCTTCCAGTTGTTGGGGGCTGTGGGGCTGCCTTCGTCTCGGTGGCGGGGGTTTTGGGCCATCGGGACAGTCGAGGGCGCGCCCGCGCCGGGCTGCGGCTGCTCGGGCGGCCCTGGTCTCGGGGGCCCCAGTTGGGCCCCGGCGGCCTTTCCGTGATTCAGTCTCGCGAGCGCGATCGGGCAGGGGTCGCGCGATTGCCGCGGCGGGCGCTCCAGCGAGCCTCCCGCGCCCCTCGCATGCGCCGCCTACAGCGCCACTTCATGCAAGCAGGTGCGTTCTTTGCGGACGCCGCGACCGAGAGCTCGCCCCCGCGGCGCCCCGCCGCGCGCGGGGCTTGCAGGGGGGGGGGGGGGGCTGGCCCGTTCAGGGTTGTCCTCGGCGAGAGGTTTTGGTCGCCCCTGGCCCCCCTGCCGCCCTGGGCCTCCCCGCGTAGACGCGCGGCGGGCAGGCGCGCAGGGCGGGCGTCGAGCGATCTCGGAGCGCGCAGTCTGGGATTGCAGCTCAGGTCCGACGCGTGGCCTGGCTGGGGCGGGGGGCGTTGGCCGGGCCCCCATCTCCTCTCCCGCCCTGCCGCAGAACATCTTGGAGTCCGTGCCCGTCGCGCCAACAGCGGCAAAGACCTGCGGCGCTCGTCCGGATTGGCTGCGCCCAGTGTGCCACGACCGGGAGTTCTTTAAATGTTGCGTTCTCCGACGAGCAAGACGAGGTTGCTTGCGTGGAGGTCGCGCGCTGCGTCCAGGCGCCCATGCTCGTCGGGGTGGCCCCCGTGAAGATGCTGCCCGGCGACGGCCGCCGCCTCGCCCTGGACGCGTGGAACGCGTTTGAGTGTGTGGGCCCGCGGGTTCGCGCGGTGCCTGGGCCAGTTTGCGTGGTCAGATGCCGGGGGCTTCGATCCTGCGTGGGCCCCGTCCACGTCCTCTCCAACGTGAAGTGGCTGCGCGGAGACGTCTGGGTATCCGGCGCCACTTGTACGCCCATTGATGAGGTCGTGCTTTCGTTGGGAAAAGCGGGCTGCAGCGACCGGGCGGATCGCCCAGTGGCCCCCGTTTCAAAGGAGACAGCTGGCAGCCTGTGCGATTGGGGCGTCCTGCCCTGGTTGCTCTCCGAGCTCGACGAGGCGCCTGGCCCCGCCTGCCCGACCTGGGGAGCAACGACGCCCGCCGCCGCAGCGTCTGTGCCGGCCCTGTCGGCAGCGTTGGCGGCGCTGACCGAGGCGCCCAGACCATCGCTGATTGGCTGGGTGAGCTGGGCGCTCGTCGCGCAGAGCTGGCCGCTGACGGCGACCGTGCTGGGCTTCGGGGCTGCATGTGGGCGGTGCGCGGCGGCTTGTGGGCCGCCCCCCGCGCGGGCGTCCTGTGCGACAGTTGCCGCGGACAGGCCGTCGGAGGGCAGCCCGCGCAGTGGCGCGCCGCGTGCGGCCTCCAGGCGACGAGCGCGTGCGCCGCGCCGTCGTGCGCCGATGACTTAGCCGGGCCCCTGGCCATCGCGTGCAGTTGGGCGCGGCAGTTCGGCCAACCCCTCCTGGAACTTCCCTGAGGAAGGTTTTAGGTTTTTTTGGGAAGGTTCCAGTTCCAGGAATCCTGGGGCCTTCCCGAGGAAGGTTTTAGGAAGGTTGTACGAAGGTTTTCTCAAAACCTTCCAACAACCCTCCAAGCAACCTTCCAAACGCCGTCCAAAAAACCTTACAGACAACCTTCCAAACATCTTCCACCTCCAACCTCCTTCCTAAAAACTTCCGGCGTGTAGCGCAACCGCCTAATGCATTTTCAAACGCCTTCCAACAGCCTTCCAAACAACCTTCCAACAATCTTCCAACAACCTTTCAGAAAACCTTCCAAACACCTTCCAACAACCTTCTTAAAACCTTCCAGCATTTAGCACAACCGCCCAAGACATTCCAAACGCCTTCCAAAAACCTTTCACCAAACCTTCTCAACTACCTTCCAAAACACCTTCCAACAGCCTTCCAACAACCTTCCAAACGCCTTCCAAAAACCTTCCAAACAACCTTCCAACAACTTTTGGATGTGTGCGGTTTGGAGACCTTCCTAACACGTTCCTTAAGCCTTCCTCGGGAAGGTTCCAGGATTCCTGGAACCTTCAAACAAAACATTCCTAAACCCTTCCTCGGGAAGGTGCCATGATTCTTGGGGCCTTCCGAAAAGCCCCTCCTGCAACTTCCATCAAGAATGTTGTTTGGAAGATTTTCGTTGTGTGTGTATATGTGTGTGTATATATATGTATGTGTATATATATAAGATGCCGGATGGTTTCATGAAGGTTTTAGGAAGGTTTTCTCGTGGGGCGTTTTTTTGCAGTTTGTGTGTGTGTGTGTGTGTGTGTGTGTGTGTGTGTGTGTGTGTGTGTGTGTGTGTGTGTTTTGAAAGTTTTTGGAAGGTTTAGTCTGGGGGGGGGGGGGGGGGTATTGGAAGGTTTTCGACAGGTTGTGGGCGGTCTCGCTAAATGCTGGAAGGTAAGGAATGTTTTAGGACGGTTTTTGGGCGGTTTTTGTGGAAAGTTTTTGGACGATTTCTGGGAAGTTTCTGGAACAACCTGCCTAAAACCTTCCTCAGTAAGGTTCCAGGATTCCTGGAACCTCCCCAAAACAAGTTTTTTTTTTTTTTTTTTTTTTTTTTTTTTTGTTGCGTTGGAAGATTTTTGAAAGGTTTTTGGCAGGTTTTTCTGCCAAGGTTGTTCGAAGCTCTTTGGAAGGTTTTGGTGTTGTTTTTGGTTTGGGAGGTTCTTGGAAGGTTTTTTTGAATGTTTTTGGGCGGCTTCGCTAAATGCTGGAAGGTTATAGGAATGGTCTTTGGAAGGTTTGTGTTGGATTCTTTTTGGTTTGTTTGTTCTTTCTTGGGGGGTTTTGGAAAGATTTTTGGAAGGTTTTTTGGAACAACCCTCTTAAACCTCCCTCGCTCTCCCCCTGGGCAAGCCTCCCGGAAACCTTCCAAGAAAACCTTCCTCGGGGAGGTTTCAGGCGGGGTTCGTCGGACTCCCGCGCCGGTCTCGTCGCCTGGTGCTCGAAGCGCCAGCGCCTCTACGACATCTGGGTCGCCCGCGGTAGCGATCCAGCCTTTCAGTATCTCAGAGTGCTCTTGCACCCCCCCTGGCAGCCCCGTTGCGCGTGCCCCCGTCGGGCCCTTCGGGCTCTGTGGGGCTCGAGCTGGCCCAGCGGGTTCTGGTCGACTCCGTCGGGCTCCGTCGTCTTCCGACGGGGTTTGTCCGGCTCCGCGACTTCGAGTCGATGTCGCTGAGCCCGTCGGGCCCCGTCGGGCTCCGTCGGGTCCGTGCGGGCCCAAGCGGGCCTTGTGGAGCGAGAGGGGCCTTGCCGGGCTCCGTTGGGCTCCGTCGGGCTTCGTCGGAGTTCGTCGGGCCCGCTGGGCTTCGCGAGGCTCCGTCGGCCTCCGTCGGGCTCTCCTGGTCCTTCCCCCCATCCTCCTGCCGGCTCCCCCTACCCGTCGTTTCCAGGCGTCCTTTGCCTACTTCTCTCTCTCCCCCCCCTCCGCGCGCGCGTCTTCATGGGCTAGCTACTGCTGCCGCGCCCTCGTCGCCGCCCTCCTCTCGCGCGCTCTGAGTCAGTCCTCCATCGAGCGCGCTCCGTCGTGCTCCGCCGTCTTTCTTTCGTCCGTTCCCCCGCGCTGCCCCGGCCCCGTCTACGTTGGTCCGCTTCTCCGGCTCTCTCCGCCCGACGCCAGTGCCCGCCCCTGCGGCCCCCTCCCCCATGCCCTCCGCTTCGCGCGGGTCTCCGTCGAGCTCAGTCGGGCTCCGTCGGGCCCCGCGCGGCTCAGTGGCCCCTCGCCCGCCGGGGCGCAGGGGGCCGTGCGCGCGGGCGCGGGCGCCCCGGCCGAAGTGCAGTCTTGGGCGAGGCTTGCTGGGCTGGCCCCCGCGCTAGTGGGGGCCCCGAAGGCCGCGCTGAGGCGCGCCGCGGCCGCGCGCGCGGAGTGCCCGAGGAACCCGTGGGCAGCCGAGGGGTGGTGAACTCTTGCTGGGGGGGGGGGGCCTGCTGGCAGTGAAGTTTCCGGTGAAGTTTGGCGTGGCGTTTTTTCCCTACCTAGGCTCTGCCTAGAAGGTTTCTTACTCGCTCGGCATAAAGGGCCGGGCAGTGGAACCCGCCCCGGGCGGTTCCCCCGGCCCCTCGGGAGCCGAGCAAAAGCAACAGCAAAGGTATGAGCAAACGCGCGGTTCCCCCAGTTGCGCTCCCTGGGCGCAGAGCAAAAGCATAGGCAAAGGCAGAAGTGAAGGCAAAAGTGAAGGCAAAGCAAAAGCAAAATCATAGCAGAGCATAGCCTAGCCCATCATAGCATTGCGCAGCATAGCATAGCATGGCGTAGCATGCGGCGTTGCCGCTCCTACTAATGCGGCTTTCTTAGAGGCTCCAACTCCTAGGTGGGGTCTCGCTTGGATAATTAGGCCACGATTCCGATTTTAAAAACGTCGCCGGGAACTTCGCGAGAGAATCCGGCGGCGCCGTCGCGACAAACTCCAGCGAAAACTTAGTCGAAAC